ACTTCAAAGTCAAATGTATTTCTTTAATCAGGGCAATTAACAACCTGATTGTAAGATGGAAACGCATCATCGATAAGAATGGAGACTATGTCATTTAATAAATGTTTGTTTTGATATATAAGTTGTTCAGGTATTTTATATTAAAAAAGCAACATTAATTTTTTGATGACCTAATATTTGATCATTTGAATAGTTGGTATAATTCAAAACAATAATGACCGAAACATTATCTTTGAATAGTTGATTATTTTTTGTAATATTAATTAGTGTAATTGTAACTTTGATTAGTTAGTAATATTATATGACACTAATTGACATAATCAGTGCTTAAAAGTAACTGATTGTATTAATTAATTTAGTTAATCACCAGCTGTATTCTTATTAGGAGGTAAATATTTTTTTCTATTTCTCATATAGTCCTTAGCTTTCACAACATTTTACCTATTGCATCACCAGTATGACTTCCAGAGAAATGCTTGATATCAAAGGAGCATGTTTTTAAGTCCATGTGGTACAGTGCCCCGTGAAACTAATGAAACTGTTGTTTGTTGACTTCAGAGAAGGTATCTTGTGTTAGTGAAATAGCACTGACATTCAAAGTCTTAACAGAAAGAGCATTCTTACATCGTTCAAATATAGTATTAGGTCCTTCTTTTCTTTAGTCTGTAATTTCAGGACTACACTTCTCAATAGTAGAATTTGCCTAGTACATTTTTGACCACTGATTTAGTGTGTACCATAATCCTTTGGAATTAAAACCTTTTTATAAAGGTACCATAGGTTATGGCCCTCATTGTTTTCAGTAGTTTTATCTAAATAATGAACAAGGTTATAAAAGCAGATTAGGAACTCCATTAGTTACATTAATCTGATCATTAAGTCATTTGCTAATTCTTTGTAACATTTCCACATTTTACATGAGAAAGACTGATAAAGAATATAGTAATTGCTTAGAAAGGCAAATTGTTTCACTTGAAAAGTTTAGTAAAATTTATTTGTTTGACATGAGAAAGCAGGATCACGTGCTTTAGAAAATATCAAAATCAAACAGTATTACAGATAACTGAGTTTAATAATTTTTTACTCTACTAAAAAAAAAGAGAGATCAAAATTGTTAGTGATTTAACATTAATAAAGTTATTAATTAATTAATATTCAGTTATTTTATTTGTTATTTATAACTTCCTATCTCTTAGTACCTATAGTAGATTTCAGGTTAAGGTGTTGTTAGTAAATGATATCAAAATCTTAAATACTTGGCTGCCAAATCAATAAAAAAAGAAACTGGCTGGATACCAATTACTAATTAAATACCTGTTATACCCATAGTTTTAAGATTGATATAATATTTGAAAATATATGATTAATACTGAAGTAAGGCTCAGCACATAATGGGTTATTGACAGAGAATGTTACCAAGTTACACATGGTTATTCGTATATATGTCTGATAGAGCTGAGTGATCAGTGAAATTTGCTAATTCATTAATCATTGGGCTGTCACACTAGTTATACTATAGAACAGAAGATCATTTGCTGAAAAGCCAATCAGGGCAACACTTCATGTATCATAATTGTAGACAATACATTAGGCTCACAATACAATACATATTGCAGGACACAAGCCACAATACAATATGTATTACAGTACACAAAATCTCTCCATATTTCTGTTTAAATGACTTAAAAAATAGTTGATTTTGGATCAACACACAACATTTTAACAAAAGGACATTTATTTACCAATAAAGTCTATGTTACTTCCATTTAAAGCAGTTACACCCCTCTAAAAAAAATTAACAAATGTTAATTTTACTTAATTTAATACAAAGTATGGCATTTCCTTTTGTAATTTTTTCTGTACACTACTTGCAAATTAACCTTTACATTGTACAGGCATATGTGTATCAATATTTTCTTTGCATTTTCTTATATATTGCTTGTTTGTTTTGCACAGCTTGCACATCTGTTGTGTGTGGCTCGTACGTTCTGAGACCAGTGCTCATATTGAGTTACCAGAACTCAAGTCATAAGTAGACAACTATTCATCCTGACCATTGCAAATGTGTCCATAGTTTTAACTACAATAAATAAGTTGTTTGTATGAATATCAAATAATTTATTCATAACATTAACCTTTTTTCATGACATTAGGTGCACCTTGCCTTAGCTTTGACATAATTCAGGATGATCTTGGTGACAACAGGACAGAGCAGTTTCCACTGACAGCCTACATTGTAGCAGGATCACAGGCAGAAAGATCTCATGTTAACAACTTGATTGTCATGAAGATGTCTAACATGAACAAAGTGAAAGCTACTGAGAAAGATGAGGAAGATGAAAGTGACAGTGATAGTGATGATGAGGATCAAGTTCCAGAACTTGAATGTGCTTTAATTCATCACCATGGCTGTGTGAATAGAGTTAGAGTAAGAAATTTAATTTTTTTTATTTGTTTAATTTGTTATCTAAGTTTTATAAACCTATGAGATCCTTTTATTACATCCAAAATCTTATTCTATTTTATAAATAAAGTTCTGGTACATTCAAACTGTGCATGTAAAAAAATAATCTTTTAAATGTAATTTTTTGTTTCCTGAAGTTAAAGCTGCAAGTACAAGTAAGTGGGGTGTGAAACCTCATGAAATTATCTTCATTGGCGTCATGATGACCTGAAAGCTGGGAAAATGTATCAAAATGTTTTAGTGTAGAGAAAGAAGGAAATATAACAGAATATTTTTTTTTTTGCGAGATTAAATTTGACATGAAAGATAAAAATATTGGAGGCAATGTTGATTTTATACCAAAATATAGGCTAAAGAAAAATATGGATTTAAAGATCATGTAAGTACTGCATGTGTTTTCATTTGTGTAAACATGTTGAGTTTACGTGTAATTTAAATGTGCAAGGTCTGTAAAGTTATAATAACAGAGCATAGTTTCCTCTGGTATGCAACTTGCATTGTTAACAGTTTCCTTGTCCTGCTTGTTATCTACTAACATGGGGCCAAGCATCAGGCAAGTGAATGTAAACCAATTAAATCTCTTAAGGCATATTGATTTTTCTTATTTATTTAAACTTGAGTTTTTGGCATGCATTAAGCAGTAGTTAGTTATTCTATTGTTAACAGTTTTAAGTATATGATAACCTGGATACTAGTTATGTAGCTTTAACAGCATTAGAGACTCAACAAAAACTAGTATGGTTGAATTTTTGATGGTCATAATAAATAGAGCTTGGTGGTGGTTAAATGTAGACAATTTTGATGGCAGAAAGTCCTTTGAAATATAGGGTAATAGGTTATTTGATAGGGATAGAGTGCTAAAGCGAGGGAAGAAGTGGCATCCTGTTGAAGATATCAAAGATAATAGCAAGAAGATTGAATCCATTTGGGTTTCTATTAGTGTATATAAAGGGAAAAGACTTTTAGTGGGAATGTATTACAGACCACAAATGATTGTTGGATATACAAGACTGTTTTGTTTAAGAGTTATTATTTAGTTTATTTGGTGATTTAATACCTAACAATTATTTAGTTTTCATAACAAGGTTGTTAAAAGTTAATTATGTTAAAAGCAATAGTTACGACAAGTTTCGTTATGTTTCTTTACCATGTAGGTTATCACAGTTAATCTAGAACTTTATATAATTCTCATTTTCTTTGAAAGTTCACACAGGCTGGTTCAGTTACCTTAGAACCCAACTGACAAGAATTATTTCTTCTCTCTTCTGTTATCATAATACAATCAGTGATAAATTCACTTACATTACCCTGTCGTACCACAATTGCATCCAGAGCTTTAAATAATTTTCTTTTATGTCAAAGGTTCACACAGGCTGGTTCAATTACTTTAGAACCCAACTGACATGATGAATTATTCTTCTCTATATCTGTTGTTACAATGCAAACTGTGAAACTTTTGCTTTAGAAATCACCCATTACAGCTAATTCACACACAGTCTAACTTCACTTTTACTCTTACTTTCACTAACTTCACTTCTCTGTATCTGCATGTATTTATAACATGTAACAGAAAAATCTAGAAATATCTAGCCTCTAGTAACAATAATATTAAACAGAATAAGAAAAACTTAGAAGCTTCGGGTAAAATGACGTCAACAATATTACAAAAGCCTAGTACAACAATTAAACTACACACATAGTGTGTGACTCATACAGAGCTTTTTTTATGTACATATGTTTGACTTGTTTTGAATATATTATATCCGATAAGGTACTCTCCCTCCTCTCACAAAATTAGCTTTTCTCATTTTGTGCTGCCCCCTATATGCGAACATTTTTCAGAAATGCATGCCACAAACCATCATCTTCCCTCTGTTGGAATCCAAAGTTCCAACACTCTCTCATGCAAATTATCATTTGTCACTTCTCCACAATAGAAGAGCACTACTATCACGTGATGCGTGTGACTCCCTTCAAACGTCGCTACCGAACTATCACTTCTCGTTTGGCAGCTGTCGAGTTCAAACATTTTTTTTTACATTATTCAGTTACCTTGAGTTGTTTGTTTATTAATTTATTTCATTTTTCTTAACTTTATTTCCAACAGTTCACAGTTGTAGAATTAATATTTTAACAAAGCATTACTTCCTCGTATATCCTGCTAAAAAATCCCGACATTACAGTCACCATTTCGAGTTCTTTGCCAGCATCTGATGTCGTATTTTCAGCCACGGGCGAGAGCGACCTATCAGAGGATATATTGTCGCTCATTCGCTGGGAGATTGAGTGGTATATGAGCCAACCTCTCTCGCCTACTTCAGCCATACTTCCTCCTAAGCCTTTCGGGCTGGGCCAGGCTGCAGACGATTTTGATCATTTGTTTCCCCACCCAGAGTTTGCCATGCCTTCCCATTCACTGCCTGATGATTCAGCTCATCCGTCATCGGTCTTTTTGAACTTTATCTCTAAGGTATGTGATGTTTTGTCTCTTTCACATGTTTCCTATGGACCTAGACCTTCCCTCTTATATGAAACTTTCTGACCCTATTTAGTCTTTCCCCCTGTCCCCCGATATTAGGGTTCACACGGACCAATTTGCTTCTCAACTGGAGGAGGGTGTTGGTATGCCTCGTCCTCTATGGACTTCGGATCAGTCTGTCCTTGCTTATCATCAGACAGACTTTCCTTTTCTCAACCAACAATTGTTGGCATCAGCTCTACCTGTTTGGGGAGTGAACCCCAATTACCCTGTCTAATTTACCCAAGCCCAATTTTTTTGCCTTTGTCTCATCCTCACGACCCTGTTAATTACCTCTCTTCTCCTTCTGTCAAAGGCTCTTCATAGGAACCCTGAGGGGGTTTTCTGCTGAAATCCTCTTCATCCTTACTTCTACATTGGCTCGTTTGTAATCTTCAGCTCTCGCACATGGTTTGTTTGTTGTTGAGACCTCTTGGGCCTTGATGAGGTTTTGGTGCAGACCCGTCTCCACACTCCATATTTGAGGGATCCCTGCATGGCACTGTTTTCGTGGTCTTATATGTTTGACTCGGTTCCTGAGTCTTTGGATTGTGGATCTCGGCCCATCTCTACCCTTAATAACTTGGTAACTCGTTTATCACTGTCAGATCCAAGCACAGCACCAATTCCTGTCACCCGACTTTCCCTTTTCCACCCTCCCATGGTGCCACATTTCGACGATTTACTTGATGATGCACGATCTGCTAACAGCAGTAACAGTGATTGTTTGGTCTGTTTGATCCCTGTGGGGGGCTTGTCTATTTTATTGCATTTCATTCATCTCTGAGGACCTTTTCTTGCTGATGTCTGGGGAGAAGGGAGAAGCATATATATTAGAAGCGGTTCAGGATCTCATCGCACAACAGGCTATCTAACCAGCTTACCAGGTTCACAGGGGTTTTACTCCCACCTGTTTGTGGTTCTCAAGAAGACAGGGGACTGGTGTTCTGTCATTGATTTATCCTGTCTAAATCAGTAAGTTCACACTCCTTACTTTACCATGGAGACATACCTTTCTCTTTGATGGGCATTTTCTCCAGGTCTTTGGATGACTAAGGTGAACAATTTCAATGTTTACTTACACATTTCTGTGGCAAAGCATTTCCATTTATATCATTGGTTTGTCTATCAGGTGGTTGTGTACCAGTTTTGTGCCTTACCTTTTGGCCTATCCTCAGTACCATACATGTTTTGTCATGTGGTACACTCCTTTGCTCGACATATTCATCCCATGGGGTTGTGCTTCCATGTTTATTTGGATGACTGACTTCTTCTTGCTCATTCCAAATGGGAATCAGCCTGTCACACTCATCAACTCCGGGCCAAAGCTGCATGGGTGGGCTGGTTGGTCAAATTGAAGGAGTTTGTCCTTTGTCCTACCAAATACTTTTCCATTTGGGTGTTTTCTTCAACACCCATCTCAGTTAGACTGAACCTACTCTCTGGCTCCGTTCTATGGAATGGGCTGTTTGGAAAGCCCTGTCTGTTCACTCACTTACAGCTCACAAAGTTCAATTGCTTTTTGGGTTGTGGTCCTCCATGACCCCTCTCATACCCCTGGACAGGGCCCATATGTGTTTTCTTCAATGGATCCTCTCTCAGGATTCCTTGGATATTTCTATATCCCTTCCCTCATCCCTTGTAGACAATCTTCATTTGTGATTGAATAGAGCCCAGACATCATTGGGGGTCCCACTTCCTCCTCTGTGGCCAGATTTAAATCTGTTCATGGTTGCATCCCTTTAGGGCTGGAGTGCCTGTGTGGATCACCAGGAGGTTTTGGGTTACTGGTCTGTGAATTAGAGTTCTCTTCTCAAACTCCTGGCTGTTCACTGGGCTTTGGATCAATTTCTTTCTATTGCCAGCCACCAGCTAGTTATGATCCATTCCAACAATCACCAAGGTAACACCAGGTACAGATCCCTATATTTTTGCACTATGGATCTTCTTTTGTGAGACCACAAACATCATATTCATTTGATAGTGTGTCATATACTGGGTTCCTTCCATCTTGTAGCCGATCATCTTTCCCAGCCAGATCTGATATATCCCGTAGAATGGTCCCTGTGTCCTGCTATTTTTTGGTAGCTCTGTCTGCATCTGGGTATGCCCCATATCAATGCCTTCACCACCACTCTCAATTGAAAATTACCTTGGTTTTGGTACCTGGTCCCACATCCTCAAGCTTTGGCTGTCAATGCCTTCAGCCAGGATTGGTCTCATCTATTCCTTTATGTTTACTTTCCCATCCATTTACTTCATTGGATAGGCTCCCTCGTCTGTGCCACTCCATGCACAGTCCTTCTGATTGCTCTTTACTGGCCTGCTCAATCTTGGTTTCTTTGGTTGCTCCAACTGCTGGTGGTCCCTCCCCTTCCTCTTCCCTTCCTTCCCGACCTGCTCCATCAACTCCAGTCACCAGCACTCCATCTTGTGCCATTTTTCCTTTATATTCACCCCTGGCTTTTGTCAGGACTTGGCAAGGAGTTCCAGTTTCTCTTGCAGAGTAGCTTCACATTTAGCCTGTTCCATTCGCCCTTCTTCTTTAGCCATCTACCAATGCAATTAGAGCATTTATCACCCCTGGGCATTGAATCGGGCTTTCCTCTGTCTTGTCTGTGCCCTCCATTGTTCTACTGCTCACACGGCTTCTTCCGGGGTCCCCTTTCCCACCTTTTTATTCCTTGGCAATCTTTCTCTTCCTGTGGTCTTTTCCCAGTTACCCTGACCAATTGGGTTCAACGTTTGATCCAGTTGGCCTATTCCTCTTTATCTCCTTCCCAGCCTGGTCTCTTTCATGTTACCTCACATCCAATCCATTGCCTTACCTTCTCCTTTGCTTCTCGTCTTTGTCAGCCATTG